TTGGCGAGTTTTTATTTAACAATCCAGAGATCGTACCCGAAGGATCTAGAAAATAATCGAGGTTGATTCAGTAAAATCGTAACAATATAATATATAATATACGTTCTTTGCCTCAGCCACTTCAATGAACAGTTCACAGTTCTTTTCCCTTCTTATTAATATACGTTCTTTGGTTAAAGTTTGCAGTGAATGCTCGCCATATATGTGCTTCTTCTTTCCAAAAACGTACGTATATGAAAACGTTCAAATACGTTCTTTGCTACAATTCAGTGACAATTGTTACTGAACATCTTGTTATCGAACAAAACTAAGAAATGTAACTTGGCAGCACTACAAACTATTTTCATTGCGCTTGTGTACGGACATTGGAATTTTTCAAAAACGATTTTGTTAAATTTCTATTGTACGTTGTTGAAGTTTTATTTTGAAATTATAGAAATTTTGTATTTGCTTTTTAAGCAAATATCCAACATAGAACAAACTAAGATGAGTGTGTGTGAACAACCGGTTAATTTCCAGGTCGAAAATAACAATGACACTAACATAGATACATCAGGTATGTTTACAGACAAGCATAATATGTCTTCATAAAGTCTGGTATATGTTTGGTATATATGAGTAAATATTTCTAGTTAATGGGATTCTTCGTATTGCTGCGAGTCCGTTGAATATAAAAACCCAAATTGCCAAAATGAGTTATAACAGTGGCAATAAAACACTCAAAAAACGATGTTTAAATAAACAAACTTCTTGCTTAAATGAAGAAGACAATTCGACAGGACCAGAATTGAAGACATTAAATAAAACGGATCCATTGGCGACTGAAGAGAACGAAAAGGAGGAGCAGGAAGAAAAACAGAAGGGTCTTGATACTTATTTAACCGAAAATACGTACAAGCCTATCCAAAAAATCATATTGGCAGAAAATGATAAACATATTTCCGATAAGAACAGAAATGTTTCGGGTGAAACAGTCCCAATGTTTCGAAGAAGTAAAACGGAAATAATTGAAAATAAATTGGGCTCACAATCAGAACGCCGACAACTAAAGAGGGAAGGTGCTAAAATAAGATCAAAGTCGTGTCGTCTTCCTGAAACAAAATCAGATGACCTACTGCCGTCGGTTACTGAAAACAAGAAGAGAAAATCATATAATGTAGAGGAAACTCGGAAGTTTTTGGAAGATCAAAAACGCCGAAGACGATCACATATACCCACTTCCACACTAAAACTGGACACTGGAAAAACAAATATTGAGAAAGAACAGATCAAAAAGAGGCTAGAAGAACTCCGTAAAAACTCCAGAGCTATAATTGCTAAAAATGTTAATAGAAAAAAATGCCCAGTTATTTCACAAATTAATATTAAAAATGGGGGGAAAAAGAGTACGGGAGATAAAGCGAAGACTGAACACAGTTTAAGGAAAGATAAGCTCTCAAGTAACTGTGAACTGAGTAAAAAAACCTCAGAAACCGTTGATGACTGCTCTGATTTACTTAAGGGTTTAAAGGTATGTACTCTTACTTTAGTTTTAATATATCTAGCCTGGGGTATAAGGGTTATAATTTTTTTCATTTTAAGAGCTTGAAATTATTTTGAAAATTTTCTAATCATATATACTGAAAGAATTAAACTGATAACTTTGTATTATTTAGTCTCTGTGTACAGCTAAAATCCATAATGAACCAGAACAACAACTTCCAATAAAAGTATCACAAATGCATAAAGAAAAAACTAAAGTGAAATCTCCGAACTCTCCATATTTGCTTAATAAGCGGATTGGCTTATTAAGAAAACAGGAAACTAAAGACCACTCCTTTAGTGCCATTAGAGAATTTAGTTTTGATAAGGATAATATTGCCTTGGAAATGATGACTCCTAAGTTGCGCGAATCTGTACCTCTAAATCCAAAAACAGTTTCCAATAGTACAGATCTTGACGCACGTCGAAATGATTTTCCAGATAAAACAAAGGAATCTATGACGATAGTAAACGAATCAAAATTGAAGTGCTTACTAACTGATGAGATCTCCAAAGAGAATAATATTAGTTCTATGAAAGAGAGTGGCACAAAACCTCATATTAAGATGGATAATAAAGTCAATACTATTCCTGAAAAAGATCTTCCTTACTGGCTTAAACCCAGCACAGTCCAGATTTATCCATACAACTTCATAATGGCCGTAAGGCGTAAACTTGAAGCCTTAGCAGATGTTAGAACACAGCCTACCGGATTTGATATGGAGCCTAAAAGCTGTTTCGCTACTAAAGACTTGTCACTTAAAAACAAAGCAAAAGGCGAAATTATTCTTTCTAAAGGGACTGATAGTGCACGTTCAGAAGAATCATTACTAACTCATAATGTAATCCCATTTGAGCAAAAAAATTCAAATTCTAAAGAAAGTTGTATGAATTCTCATTCTGAAATTCATTCTAACCTTAGCTCAATATCAATAAAGCTTCGTTCTGAAAGTACTGTTTCGGAATCCGTTTTAAAGGACCCAAAAAGTATTCCATTAACATATGCAAAGTCAAAAGTATTTGAAGCAACATCAGAAGATGATACAACAATTTCCAGCTCAATTTTTAATAGCGCTGACAGAAATATTCACGACAAAAACAACATTGATAGCAGCCGAAAAGAAGAACTACAAGGAACCATTAGTCCTCTATCTCTAGAGCGTGTAGAAAATTTAACTATCATGTCAAACAAAAAACTTAAAACAGCAATTGCAATAAGGCATGTTAATACGAATAGGGGAGATACACCAACAAATAATAAAGAAGACACAGCTGATATTGATTTCAACCGACTTCTTCATGATTTTAATAACAGTTTATCACAAGTAATTGAAGTAAATGATCGATTAAAAGCAACTATTAATAAGTCACAAGAAATTTGCGGGTCAATACCTACTGATAGTTGCAATTCGAAACAATCTGATCAGTATACAGCGGATTTTGAGAAAAATTGTAGTGATCAGTCCCTTATTTCTCCATGTGGAAATAACGACATAAAACCACATAAGGATCATATCAAAGACGCATTTGATGACCAAAAGAAATATGATTATAGTAAATTAGAAAGTGTAGCACTTGGTTCAAAAGATAGTGATGACAGTCCTTCTAAAGCCTCAAACCCAAATAGTAAATCTTATACTAATTCTAGTTTAAGCTCACGGAATTCTAATGGACAGTATGAAATACTGTCTCTATCTAAAGAAGATCTGGACAAACGCTTACATAAAATAAGAAACATTAAAGAAAAATATAAACAAATCATTATAAACTTGCAAAAAAATCGTAACAAAGACGAATCCCTAAAGCAATATTTAACCCCAGCCAATATTTCAGAGCGAAAGGAAAATGAAATTTTATCTAAAAAGATGGAAGATGAAGAGAAGAAAACAAACAGCGAAATTAAAGTACAGTGTGAAACTCTTAACCCATCATATTTCATATCATGCCATAAAAGTCCTGACACCCCCATAAGAAACCAAATAAAAGCCAACCAGCAACATTTTGCATCCAAAAATATAAGTACAAGCCGTAAAATTTTGGAAATGTTTGATCATACCCATTTGGAGATATCAATGGGTTCAACAAACAACGACAGTTTATCTGATTCTACCTGCAGTTACTCAAATCTGGGCGTGGTAAGTGAGCTAACCTTACATGCAGTTAAAAAAATGATAATGTTTTGTTTTCCTTAGTATGAAAAATTAATAAGAAACGAAACGATTAAATCGGAACACTTGACTGCTTTACTAAAAATGAGGGAAAAGGCTTTATTTGATCGAACAAAAGGGCAAATAGCGTGGTTAGAAGTGCAGAAAGAACGCTGCAAGTCAAAAGGTTTACTTCTTCAAATTGCTACAATCAAGAAGAAGCAACGTGGAATATTGCTAAAAATGGAGAAGGAACGTGATGCAATCAAAAGGTAAACTGGAAAATTAATTTCAAAGTAGTAAAGTAGTAGTAAGTATAACGATACATAATTTGTTACAGAATAGTCTGAGGTGAGAAAAGGCTTTATTCACTTATTTTAACGATGATAGCGCACGCCTTTACCACGTTTTCTATTTTAAATTTATATTAAAAATAGTTGGAAATTATGTTAAACAACTATATTTCAGTTTTTTCTGAAAAAGTATTCAGAAGTTATAAAGTATGCCTCAAAAACCACTTAATGGAAATCGACAGACTAATACTGCTAATTGTGTAATATTTAATATTTTGTGCTTTTTTTCCAAGCAACCTCCAAACACCTTGGCATATATGGGAGTTGCAAGAAAAAATTCTTATTTGGCGATCCATAAATACTAGGTTACCGACTTATTTAGCTGACCTCCGCTCCCTCCGCTTTTAATTGTTGATTTGACATTTTTTATTCGTAACTCTTCATGTTGTTTTCGCCAAACAATATGCAAAACTTTGTTTTGTAGTCGTAGCAAATAAAAGCTTACTAATAAATTTTGGGTTGAAAGTTGATTTCAGTGTGGTGTTTAAATTTGGTTCTGTAAAATATTTTCTAAATTTCCATGTTTCTTACATCGCTTATCGCATTATCTATAGTTTGTCGAAATCGGTTAAACATATCAAATATATTTTTTGATTTTCCTTCATTGTGAAAATATGAAATAACTTTTTCCACTGTTCAAGATAATTGTAGAGCTTCAGCGTTGCACAATTCTCTGTGCATGCTCTGCTTACCGCTAATTTTTTTTAGCTTAGATGCCAAGTGAATACACCCACGAGAATCCTAAGCTCTCTTTTTCCTAATGCAAGTAACAGCATGGTTTGTATATCCATATCCTCGCTGTATTTACTCTGCCACCACAATTTACTTTGGAGGACTTCCAATTTCTGTCCAAAATAGTCGATGGTGACAGTCTCGCCAGCGGTGCCAGTGCTAGCCAGCTCGTCCGCCTTTTCTTTGCCTTCTACAATATATCCGTGTGTTTTCCCGCGATAGCCTACGTGTTTTTACATTTGGAAGTGTGTCAACCCAAGTTGTAGTAATTGCGTTTGAAGGTACTTGATTATTAAAGTGGTCACATAAGAACCTTTCCTCATCGTAACTGTTACCGAAGGGACGGTCTTCCTACGAGGGAAGGAGTAGGTAGTCTCTACCCGGCAGAAGGATTCCGTATCTTGGTAGCGTTTTAGGTTTAGCACGATTTCCGATATAATCATTTGGATGCCGCCTTCTCTTTATTATTTCATGTACATTTAGACGGATAGCTGTAAGAGCTGCTTCATACATCACTTAAATGTCAAGAATGACTTAGGGCCTTTTTTTTAGGTAGTCCTCATCACGCCTGCTATACCTAGTAGACAGCTACGTGGCACCAGCTCCAAGGGCCTAATATGATACTTCTTTAATGTCGATTACCCCACTGGTGCTCCATGAGTTTTATGAGACTTATGTAAGACTTATGTAAAGCCGATGATCCACTATAGTGGAGAATGCCTCCTTGTGGAGTGCCACATGTGATTTTATGAATGATTTTTACACCGTCTGCTACGCATACCGCCGGTCTATTTCATATTGATTAATCTCAATGCGGTTCGCATTGTTAAAATCACCCTCCACGTCAATAAATGCCGCAAAAGAATATACTCGCTCTAGCTACCATTTCAGCATTAAAACAGAGTTCTTCTCCCCTTCTTATAAATTTGAGACTCTGCACCCATGGCTATCAACCAACCGTGGTATGCTAATAGTATTTCGATAAATATTTTTTAATTCTTGGCGCACTACTGATGATATCAACTCACTCGCAGAAGAGGTGCCTCGAATTGGGCTTTCCCTCCCTTATATTATGCTTTCGATATGCGGCGTGCTAATCATTCCAGCATTTATTTTTTATTAAAGCGTTTAGCTTTGTTAAAAACCCTTCGACAATTTCTTCATCTATTCTTCAGCTCCGCTTGTCTAATGAAGATTCCGGCTTTTGCTAGGGAACATGCTTCTTACTGCGTCAATTTCCGATATGGTACTTGAGCTTTCGGTTACTGTGAATTTTTTTATATAGCGCGGAGGTCCGGATGGGTAAATATATTCCAGCTTTGAAATCTTTCGAGCAGTACCTGCCGGTGGAAGCAGAGAAAGAACTGGTTGTACTTGGTATTTCCAATTGGCGCTAAACTGTGTAAAGAAGAAATGAATGGATCAATGTTGTTAACTCGCATATAATCACGTCGTCTACGCCAGTAAAGAAGAGTGAGCCTTCAATCTAATTGTATGCCGAGATATGTTACACCGTTTGCTTAGAGAATAAGTATACCTCGGCCGTGGTAGCCGAGTGGTTAGCATTGCGCACTGCCATTCGGAATGTTCGGGTTCAAATCCTGTTGTCGTACTAACATCCAAAAAGTTATAAAAAATTAATTTAGTTAAAAAAAATTAAGCTAAATTTTCTAATTGCGGTCGCCCCTCGGCAGGGATTACCACCGACAATACACTCGGACACATGAAATAAAGCTTTCTTGGAAAAACATCAAGTCGCAAAACCAAAAAATAGAGAAGGAGCTCGGCCGAAAATCGCTTCAGCGGTTACAAAGCGAAAATGCTTGTGGACGTAGTATAAGCGTAATGTGTTTACATTTTTGCTGATTGACTTTAATTCTCCAGTTTGCCAGCCATTCTTCGATGACAATTAAATACTCCCCAGTCGTTTTCGAAGCTTTTCTATGCCATTTATCACAGCATAATTTGGATGTGTCAAATGGATGTTGTATATAATGTGAAATATAACGCTATATTGAGGAACACCAGTTTCAAATGGAAATTCCTCAGTGCTTTACAGTAATCTGCCGGTCAGACAGATATGACTCAAGGAAATTGTATGCAGAATGGTATAGGCAAAGGTTTATAAATGTTGTGTAATAGACCTTTACGTTAAACCTTGTCAAACGCTGTGCTTGAGGATTGGTGTTCAGGTAACACCTTGTAATGATTGAGGAAGGGAGATATGTTAGATAGTTGAATACTTTCAATTAATTTGACTTATTGGTCTCTTGGTAGCTCTTTTCGCATTGTTAGTGTAATAAGGCCTGGATGTCTCTTCGGGTTCAATTGCTTAGCCGCATTTACAACTTCCTGGGTTAATGTTTCAATCGTCCCTGAGATTCTCGGCCGATCTCAATTAATTCCGGCAATATAAAATTATTAGTCATCATTTTGCTGGAACTCCAGCTTAAATGTTTTGCAAAACAATTTGCCATTTGTGTTTCTGATTGGTGTGCCAGAGGCTTAAAGTTCATACCCTCCATCCACAGGTGACGCTTTTTTTATAACGAATTCTTTTATATAAGTAGTTGTTATGGTTTTTTCTCTTTAGAGATGCTAACGTTTCTGTAGAGGCGAGTATGTTATTGGACTCATTAATTTGTTTATCAATATCATTTATACTGTTCAAAATTGGGCTAATGTTAATGTAAATACTAATTTGTTGTATTTGAGACATATTGTTGTTATGCTTGTTAGTCTTAGTTCTTGGGCAACTATCGTCGATTGCTCGTTAAGCTTTTATTGAAATTGGTGAGTGAGGCGGCAACAGTCCTAGCTGATACAAGCTGCCGGTCGAGTTTTCATGAAACAGCGAAGTCTATTAGGTTGAGTATTTTCCTCCCATCAGTTGGCCAGTTGGTTCACCCATTTTGATTTATTAGTTCAGAGCTCTAATAAACGTGCTTTGCATTGTAGTCTCCTCCGGCTATAAATCCAGCAATGACGGAGAGAGTTGATTTCTTGACATAATTTTTCAAGGTTCCAGAGTTAGTTTTTAGATAATTGAGGGTGCATAGCTGTAAGACGGAGTGTTTAGCACGGCTTCTTAGAAATAACTCAGTACCGCCATGCGCGTTACCATCGGGGTAGTTTTTAGCATAGAATATGAACCCAGGTATATAGAAATAGTATTATATTTATCTGTGAGGTGTGTTGCAACGTGAGGCGAGGAGCACAACGTACAATGTATATTTTGCTAAAATCGTCTGAATTCGAATTTATATTGGTTGACACTATTCGCATTTCAAAAACAAGTATTAATTACGCTAATTTTTTTATTCATGAACAATACTTCCATTAGATTGATTCTGTGGCGTCTGATCTGAATTTTTCTTTAAAAGCTTTCGCATATGACAATTGATTTTAATTTAGATTTTGGCTGCGGTTTTTTTAAGTGAATTCATGGATGCTGTAGATTACCTTCGCAATTACTACATTTTTCCTTTTTTTTTTTTGACGTGCATCCGGATGTGGGATGTATAACTACACATTCTACATAAACACTGCCCAGTGTACATTGAAATGGACCATTTCTCTTATGTAGTTTTTCTAAAGTTACCCTACAGTATAGCATATATTTCGAATTATATAGATTGATGCATTTCATTTTTTTAGTTGCGTTGCTTCGTTGGGTGACAATCTCACTTTAAACATTGGTTGCAAACTTTGTTTCTGTTAAGTATATTTATAACAGATTTAAAATTGAAACCTACCGGTTCAAGAGCCTCTGTTATTTCGTCGGTTTTGACTGTAGGTTCTATTCCTTAATTACAGCAGATATGTAGGTGATTCGAGCTCTTTTTTCGTTTTTATTACTCGAGGATAAAAGAATACAACTTCGGTAGAATTTTGGCATTACCACCTGTGGGAGTACCCTTTAATAAAGAAAATTTTTTACACTTATTTTCATTTTTTGGAGTAACTGTTTTTTATTGGGTTGAATTTTCGCTTTATATTGATGTAGCGGTGTAAAACTATCTGCACTGCCATGCATTTTTTCTCGCTTTCCGGCATTTTTTCACTTACATTATGTTGTTACTGGCTGAATTTTTTCAGACCGAATTTTCCACTTCCTCTTCAAACTAAATGTCAAAATTGCGCTTTTCTGTTGCAAATTTTTCTGGCTTTTTGCCCCAGTAACAATTATAGTAGGAATTATTAACATCGATAATTTTTGAAAGAGTTTCTCGTTGAAGAGAAATTAAAATATTTTGAAATTTAACGTTGTCATTATTGTAATTGTCCTTTCAACAAGCAAAAACCATGCTACAGGACATTCATTCCAAAACGGAGGTTAATTAATTGATTTGGAATTCGGTCTAAAATGTGATTAAATGTGTGTCAAAATGTGTTGAATTTCGTGTTGTATTGAAATATGTATTAGAGTTTGTGTTTCTGTTGTTGTAAAATTACATGTGCGTATGGGAGATCAATGCATTTCATTCATTTATATTTAAATTAAGTAACAAAGTAAAAAAGCTATTTAATATATATATATATAAATTCAAATATTGATTATAATTTTTATAATTAAGAAAAACCTGAGGGTACCGTTCTGTTCTGTTGTTGATTGTTGTTGTTCTTGATAGTAGTTCAATTCTATTTTCAATTCTTGAATGGTGCAGAAAGGACATTCGGACTTAGTATTTTTCGGGTTTCCAACGTTTCAGTATGTTTCTTTATAAAAATATATTTTTGATAAAAAGTCCTTAAGATTTTGAATACTGTATAGATTAGATTATATTTGTTATTTTATTGCCTCGGTGCGTTGGTGTTACTGCAACTGTTATTCAATGTTCACAGATTCTGTTGAAAATTAAAATTGAATCTTGCATGCAAATTATTAACATTTTTGTAACTTGTTATTTGCAACTTGTTTGAAATTGTTTTTTTTGTTACTTTAATTTTCGACGTCAAATATTTTCATTTTTTTTTGAAACATTACATAAATAACAAGTTACAAAGTTGATTGGACCTTATCAGTGTGGCTTCAGACCTGGTGAGTCAACCATTGACCAGATATTCACCATTCGCCAAATCTTGGAAAACAGCCGTGAAAAGAGGATCGATACACACCACCTCTTCGTCAATTTTAAAGCCGCCTTCGGCAGCACAGATTAGAGCTGCCTCTATGCCGATATGTCTGAATTTGGAATCCACGCAAAACTTATATGGCTGTGTAAACTAACGATAAACAATACTAAAAGGCCCATCAGGATCGGCAAGGACCTCTCCGCGCCGTTCGGTATCAAACGAGGTTTTAGACAGGGTGACTCTTTGTCGTGTGATTTCTTCAATTTGATGCTGGAGAGAATAATAAGAGCTGCAGCTGAGTAGAGAAGGTACAATCTTCTATAAGAGTGTACAACTACTGATTACGCCGATGATATTGACATTTTCGGCCTCAAAAGCAGCACCATTAGTTCTGCTTTCTCCAGGCTTCATAAAGAAGCGAAGCGAATGGGTCGAGAACGAGGACAAGACGAAATATCTTCTGTCCTCAAACAAACTGTCATCGCATTTGCTACTTGGCTCCCACGTCACTGTTGACAGTCATAATTTTGAAGTCGTTGATAATTTAGTCTACCAAGGAGCCAGCATCAACACCAACAATACTGTAAGCCCAGAAATCCAACGCAGAATCACTATTGCCAACAGGTGCTACTTTGGACTGAGTAGGCAATTAGCAAAATAAAGTCCTCTCACGACGAGCGAAAACCGAAAAGAGAAAAGTTTTGCGTAAGATTTGTGGCCCTTTGCACGTTGGCAACGGCGAATATCGCAACGATGGAACGATGATCTATACGAGTTATACGGCGACATTGATATAGTTCAGCGGATCAAGAAGCTGCAGCTACTCTGACTAAGTCATGTCGTCCGGATGGATGCGAATACTCCAGTTTTGAAAGTTTTCGATGCAGTACCCGCCGGTGGAAGCAGAGGAAGAGCAACCCCTTCACTCCGGTGGTATTTGGTATTTCCAATTGGCGCCAAACAGCAAAAAGAAGAAATGAATAGCGCAATGTTTTTAAATCGGCTATAACCGCGGAAGTGGTGACTACGCCAGTAAAGTAACAAATATTAAAATGTTGGCAGCAGAATTAAGTTCTCTGCACGAAATGTTAACATTTACAATTAAAAATAACTAAAAGAATTGAACTAGACAGATGAAACTACAAAAGCCTTTGCACTTGTTAAAGGCACTTAAAAAACATTATTAACTTAATTGCACAAAGCCGGTAAATTATCAAACACAATAAATGCTGTTGTAGCTATTTCACAAAAATAATAACACATTAGAACCATTAGCATATTTTTCGCGAAATTAAGTCCAACTGAAATTAATTATTTAACATTTGATAGAGAACTTTTGGCAATATATTATATAACTCACATTTTCTCGAGGATAGAGTTTTCGCTGTTTACACTGATGATAAACAGACAGTCCTCCTCGTCAAATTAGACATCTAGATAATAAAATTGACGATACTCTTTCTTTCAACAAAAGATATATTGCATTTTCAATATTTTTATGAAGAACAACAAAAAGACGAAACACTTAAATATATTATTTCGAATTTTTAACATTTGGACCATATGCGTCTAATTCAAGGAGAAAATTTATTCTTCAAACAATTCATGCTTTATCACATCCAAATGTTCGAACAACGCGACGTATCATTCAATCTAAATTGTTTTTGCCTAATATGCGTTAAGAGATCAATAGTTGAACATCATCTTGCGTTAACTGTCACAAATCTAAAGTTACTAAGAACACAAAAACTCCAATTCAAATATTCCTTCTGGACGATTTGAACTTATTCCCATGGATCTAGTTGGAAGATTCCAGTTTCGAAAGAGAATCGATACATATTAACATCATTCGCAGACATAGTCGACTGCCAGAAGAATATTCTTTTAGAGACATTCAGCGGTTTCTGTGTATTAAAATTTTCTTCCCTCGTATCGATATTCCACTCAATATAACGGTAGATCAAGGAACATAATTTGCTTCAAAAATATTTAATGAATTAACAAAGCTTTTAGGTTCTCACCAAATATGTACATCTCTTCGTATGGTAAGATAGTTCAAGTTTAACACATTTTTTTGGCCACAAATGAAAGTATAACTAATTTTCACCAAACAAAAGTATTGGCACACCAAAACCAAAAAAAAAATTATAAAAAAAAACCAAAAAAATTATATTTTCTAGCCAAGCCTTTATGTTTGACGACAGCTTCCAAGCGACTTTGCATCGATGAAACCAATTTTTGTGTGGTTTCTGCTCCAATATTCCGTCATTCCTCCACCAGAGCCAGCTTCAACTCTTCTTTTATTGATATAGCGCGCTTTTTAACGCTCCAATCCAGCTCTTCCTACAAAATACTTTTGATATCGTACTTTAGGAAAACTTTTTAGTTCGGTGTTTATTGAATATCGATTCAAAAGTGAACATTTTACGACCAAAACGAAGTTGGCCTCCATTCATGAACATTATAAATCACACTATCAAACGCAAATGCTGTTTTTTAAATACAAAAATCATAACAATGCAGTAACTATTTAGCCAAAAATTCAAATGAAATTCTATGGCTTTTGACTTTTTATGTTGTTTTGGCATTGGGCGCCCACTTTGAGAGTAAGTTGGGGACTCAGAACAAGGAGAAATGCCGTTAACTATACAGCTCTCCATAAACACACAGATTGGTTTACTCCTTTTCATTTTGCGCCAATGTTGCAAGTTCCGAGTTCTATTCCCAACTGAACTTGCTGCGCCATCTGGTTCCTAGGTCTGTCATTTCATTCAGCCGTTTTGTAACCGCATTGCACTGCAATTTCGGGGACAAACCATTCCTGCGTAGTAAATCTCCTTTCTGAAATCCTTCAGAACTCTTCGCCTGAGCATAACGGACTTCTTCGTTTCGGCTTTCCAATTCGGACCGTCTTTCCTAATAATTAGCTCCTCGACGAGAAGACTTTATCATATAACGATTCTAATTTTTTCTAAAAAAAACGATTAAAAATGAAGCGATTTCATCTTGACAATAATAAGACAAACAGTAATTAGCTGTTGTATTCGCGTCGTCGCTTTATTTTCCTCAAAATAAACTTTTGATAAATTTATGATTTTACATTTTCAATATATTTTAGTTTCTGTTGAATCAGCAGCGCTCGTTAAATCATGTCAAATCTTGATTGTATAGCAATAATACGGCGCGCACATTTCAATTGTTTATGTTTACATTTATTGGTGACTGTTATCTGCATGACTGTATTTTGTGAGGCAAAACATGAATCGTGTCGATATTGAAATATAACGGGCCGAAGAAAATTTAGAAGTACAGTAGCGAATGGGAAGAAAATTATTTTGTGTCCGAATCCAAAGGGAAATTATTTTTTTGTGTCTAATATGCTGTCATGAATAATATAACATGCAATAAGAAATACAATGTCGAATCTCATTTTAAAAATCAACACCGTGAAATGAACGATAAGTTTTTGCCGTTGTCTGAAAAAGGATCTGCCGAAATATTACGATTGAAAATTGCATTGGAATCTGAACAAAAAGTGATGGAAAACATATTCAGTGCAAATCATCAAAAACTCACATTGCAAAACACGAGAACTCATACGTCGATGGGGAATTTTACAAACAGTTGATGCAAACAACCATTGCAACGCTATGTGAGAAGTGGGACGACAAATTGAAAACGCCATTGCTTGATAAATTAGAAACATTAGCGCTCACTCATACGTCGCAATCAGTCGCCGTGTCGTTGATATTGGAGCTGAAATCGAAGCGGAATTGAAAAGTGAATTGGAAAAATGTGGAGTATTTCTTGGCTTTGGATGAAACGACAGACATTTCGGATATGTCCCAACTATTTTGGGTGTGATACATCAAAAACAAAAAAGGACCAAAGATATTTTTGATGCATTTATGACTGACGATGCTCGATTTGATTTGGACTTGAAGGAGCTCGTATCGATATGTACCGATGGAGCTCCTGCAATGACCGGTTTTGCTGCCTTAGTGAAAAAGTACATCAAAGAACATTTCAACTCACCGTTTTTCATTACATATCAATGCATAATGCCCCAAAGAATTTTAGTTTAAGTATCGTACCCTTAATTTTTTCATTTGTTTGCAGATCATCAATACAATCAGAGCGAGTGAACTACGTCATCGTCGATTCAAGATGTTGACCGAAAAATTAATTTGGTGACATAATGTTCTTTAATTTGGGGCTACAAGGAAAGAATAAATTCGGTTGGGACTTCGCAAAAGATATTCCAGAATTCAAGTTGAAATTGGTCGCATTTAAAAACCAAATTAATGAAAATGATTTTACTTTCTTCCCAGTGTTAGACACAAATCAATATAATGAAGATTTTGAGCTATATTTTGATTTGAAGATTTCCAAATGTCAGTTGGCTTTCAAAGACGTTGTACCAAAGTTTTTAAGCATGTTTGGTTCCACATACGTTTGTAAAGCATCATTCTCAAGTCTTGCGCGCCGTAAAAATCATCCTTTCACATTCTTTATTCGTAGTTGCATTCGACACAATGGTTGTCCAAGTTTGTAATGTAGAATAAATAACTGCGCCAAAAAGTGTCGAAGCAAAATATACGAAATCTATATTCCATTTTTCCTTTAGTTTTCCCATTGGAGTAACTCCGCAAGTTTTCAGCTAATTAAAAAAATGTCACTAGTTTACTACAAACTACCAGTGGGATTTCAAACTGTGAACGAATTTTCATTGGGGCAAATCAGAAATACAAAACCGGTAGGTTACACCGTCGGTTATAATTTTTTTTAAAGACTTGTTCTCTTATAATTTTTAAACAAGTATCTGTGCAGATGCGGCTTTTACTCCATAAATTTTCATAACTATATATGTACATATTTATTTCGAGTAAGAAATTAAATTCTGTCACCACAATGAGCTATTTTTGAATAACCTTTACGTTATATTCAAAATCTATTTCTATTTTCCATTTTTCAAATGTTCATATATTTGAGAATATTTTCCAAAAATTTAAGTTGATCCGGCAAACTGTCTCGCAGATATGATCATATCATTATGGACGTACCGGGCGTTCGAAAATAGGCTAAGAGTTAGGCGGAGTAGCCTAAGCTGTCTCGTTACCGTTAGGCCTTTGTATAGGTTGTATATTGTATAAGTAAGTTTCGTCAGTTGAAAGTCGTCCTTCACGAAGTCAAGTTGTGTTTTTTTTATCAGTGTTTAAAGGTTTCTTTAACAGAATGTTCGAGAGGCATGAGGTTAGTAGAGTAACTCGAAAAAGTACAAAAAAGCAGTTGTCCCCACCAAAAAAAAAAACGTAGAAACAAGATGAAATATTTGTGACTCGTGATACTTCCGTAGAGTATCGAATTTTAAAGTTTATAACTGTGTTTGCTTCTTTAAGTGAATATGTACTATGTAAAATGTGCAGCGGACCAGTAATATTCGCGACAGCATTAGAAAATGGACTTGGGCTTAAAATTCTTGTGCTATGTGACAAGTGTAATCCTCATCAAACATTCTTATGAAATAAATAGAAGATTTCTATTTGTTATGAAATCTCTTGGATTACGTTTGAAAGGTGCTACGCAATTTGATTGATTGATGGCCACGTCATCTTTTTTGTTACAGACCTCTTATGATATGATTATCAAGAGTATTCACGACTGTGGTAATCGTCAGTGAAAAACTTGTACGGAAAAAAGGCCGACGTGGGAAAACCATGGTGATGAGAATAAAAACGATTTGACAGCTACAACTAATGTTATTATAAGAAACATTTCAATGTCGGTTCAAAGTCTATTTTCTGGAAGAAAAAGCGTGAATCCAGCAACGAATACGTTCTTTCGAAGAGAATTTTTTCTTGTTCACTTCCCTTGTTTCCGGCTCATTATCTGAGTTAAAAATGAATGAGCGAAACAAATGCGATTTGGTGTTCGCAGTAGCTGATGCATGCCATTCGGCTTAGTATAAACTTTAGGTCGCTAAAAAAGAAAATGCAACCTCAAACCGCAGAAGTAGACTTCCTAATGTCCCTACGCATTGCTAAACTCGCAGCTCTGCCCTTATACCTGTTATTATACTGACAAGTCCTGGTCAGAATGAAGAGCTGATTTGATTTGTTATGTCTGCCTGTTTGTTCACAAACTAGTCTTTCAGACGTACTGGTATATGTAAGCTCCAACCCTCCTCCCGATTTGATCAGATATGAGGTTTTTTTTGTAAAAAAAATTAGTCAAAAGAGAATCTCAGATCAGATCAATATCTGTTTGAAATGGTGATATGAAACTGACTTGATTAGGTTTTTTCGAAGATATTCGAAACAGCTGTCATTACACTGTGCAAAAACTCGATTCAATTAATTTTTTTTTACTGGTTTTAACACATTTGTAATCATTAACTAAAAAATAAGCATTTGGAGAAACCATCCAGAAAATAAATAATTGTAAATGATAAAAGCAAAGAATAAGTACAATTTGCATTCTACTTTTACATTTGCTGATACAAAATTTGTATCTATGTAAATTCATAGACCAATATCGTCTTAACAAATGTCATTGATGACAAGTTATATAGGTTGTCTATCCCAGTTGTGCTCCAGCTTCCAATCACACTGCGGTCTTTGGCAGAGGGATCCTGTTAACGATCTGTGGGACCCAAATATTTCCTTAGCGCGTTCAACAATCTCGGTGGTTATAACAGAAATGCTAAAGGCTTTTGAACGTTTGAATTGCCCACGCTGTACAAAGTTAGGAATGAACGGAGAGCAAAGAGCTCGTGACCATTTTTACATCTTGGACCGTATTCTAGGCATTGCTTGTTGTAAAATGCATTGTTCATTACTTACATTTTTATTAAATTTACGATTGCAAAGAAGCTTGCACACAATTATGTCAACGAATAACTGATCGGTTTTATTCTGACATTGAACCGGTAAATCGGTTTCTTTAATATCTAAAATCGACATAAATTCTTTTTCGAAAATGAAACCGATATGCAAATCAATATTAGGAATGTGTAACCCGTTCAACAGAATTTTGTCGGTTTCAATTCTGATTCCGACAACAATCTGTTTCTGTAATAACCCTGATTGACAACGAAGATTACTAAATCAGGAAACTATATCATTTAAGCCCTGCTCCAACCAATTGATATAGAGATGAAAGGTGTAAAGACTTCGACATGACCGAGCGCAACTCTTCTTCCTTTAACCTATATTTATTCACTTTTTAGTTCGATTTATTCAACAATGGCGATCCTGATAAGGACAATGAGAAGTTTATTAATTTATTGTGTCATGAATACCCATAACTTCATCTATGTGTTAAAAAATATTATATATATGTACGAGGGAATCAACAAAAGTTCGGTAAGTTCACCAGAACAAAAAAAAAATGTTCCTGGATTTATTCGTCCTCTTTATTTTCGCTTCATCGCCATCAATCGCCAAATCTTGCTTTTTAAGCTTATTAAGTTCCGCACTAACCGCTTTATTATCTCCTCGTTGCTATTAAAGACCCTTCCTTTTTAATTTTTGGAAATAACCAGAAATCACAATGTGCTATAACTAGGAAATATGGTGCTGGACATATTTCTTCGATCCCAGAGATCGCAATAATATTACTCGTTATTTCAGCAACGTAGGATGGCGCATTATCATGATGTAAAAAGTAGCGCTCTCTTCCGTGTACCATATTGCAAGTACCGTCTGACTCTTTTCCAGTGGAATAGCAGCTACGATTTTAGATCGGGTGAAGTAAACTGCTGCTGATTTTTGTTGCTTAGATTTTACGAGTGGGCTTCATTTTTAATTCGCGGTACCCATCAGCAAATTTTTTCGTCTGTCCCAGATGATTACTTAATATTCGCGATACAGCCGTTGCATTCAAGCCCAATTCATTGGCAATCATTTCTTGTGTCTACCCGTGGGCCTTCGTCAAGTTTGGACCTCACCAGAGCTACAATGACGTCATGAGTGGAAGTTTTTGGTCGACCTTCTCGGGGCTCGTTCTCTACGAAAAAATGTCGCGCCCGGAATCTTTAGAACCACTTAGAAATAGTCTTTGAAAACGGTGCAATCATTCCAAATGCAATTTGGTATTCACTGAATATTTGTGTTGGCTGTATATTACGCCGAAACCCGAAGAGAATTACATGGCGAACTTCTGCTTGCGTTTGTGGGGGAATTTCGTCTGACCTATCCTTAGCTGACTTGTGTGTTCTCGTATTCATTTCGACCGATTGTTCGAAAATTTTAAAGGAGTACTAATAATTTAATTGCAAGGGATTTGGTATTTTTGTATTTAACAAAAACAAATTGAAAGTCACCAACTAACCGAACTTTCGTTAATCCCCTCGTCCTAATGTATACATGAGAGGTGATCTCACGATGAGTTAAACATGAGAATTTACAAGACAATTACGGCGGGTGAATTTTAAAGACTCCCTGATCAAATTTTGATTTGTCTAATGAACAAAATACTTAAAGCGTATTTATATATCCTCCTCGAATTTTTGCAGCTTAATTTCATGTCAGATATACACTCGGAGCGGTGGACATTCACTGCCGAGGGGCGACCGCAATTAGAAAATTTAACTTAATTTTTTATTTAAATTAATTTTCTATAACTTTTTGGATGTTAACACATCAGGATTTGCACCCAAGCCTTCCGAGGGGCAGTACGCAATGCTAACCACTTGGCTACCGCGGCTGCCATATTATAAATAAATACATACATACATACACATGTATTCTACGCCCATGATAGGTGTCCTCTTCTATTTCCATTCATAATTTTTTTACGCAATGGAACATTAATGTTTACGTTTTTGCGTCATTATTGTTTGTATTATTTTAATTTATGTATACATTCATATATACTCGGATATAGTCGGGCCGTTTCGACGTTTTGCTTGCTTCAATCGTTTGTATTGTTGAGCATCGCTGTTAAGTACGGGACGTGATCGTGATCGCGAGTAGCGCGAGGTATTCGAAATCGTATAGTATTGTGTTTGTACCATTTTCTTGCTGCTGGAAAAATAAAATTAGAAATAGTTGCAATACTCGTACATGTTTTTTATGCAATTAACAATTTATTTTTTCATATAAAGGCGGTGTAATTTATTTTTAGGTATTATTTCGGCCGACATGCTCCTTTTCAATTGTGTTTGTAACAGAAAGTGCCCTTTAATTTGTTTCTCTTACGAGATCATGTAATTATTAAAACACACTCTAGCTAGAAATATAACTCAACGTTACGCAGAACTAACTATAAATAGGTTTCCAGTTAAAGTATAAAGTATAGTAGCCAACGCTGCGGTGAGTGAAAACAACGTTCTGAAGAATTACTTACTTATTTATTTCATTATAACAAGGAAAGTAAGAAAATCTTGAATAATCTAAGAAATTTTAAAAGTTAATGCTTTCGCATATTAAACTGGTTTTTTTATATTTTCAAAATGTATTTGCAAATTAAAAATATAGAAGAAAAAAATAAACTGATTTAATATTCATAAATTTTAAACTTACGCTAATATTTACTATGTTGGAAATACACAGCATGTTTTGTTTTCTTGCTCCACATGTTTTTGCTCTTGTTTTATATTTTTTTTTTTTGTATATGCGCGAGTGTATGCATATATGTAAGAATGTATGTATGTTCGGAAGTGTGTGCACAAGTGACGATATTGGAATTTAAATTATTATTGATACGAAAGCTACTGTACATACAATACATACATGGTTTACATACAAAGCGTTTGTTGCCGTCCTAACAGTAACGCTGTTTAGATATCTTCACAGAGCACAACAATCAAAAGTAAACATTTCACATTGTGGATGTTTTTCATTTAATATATGATTTTAAAAAATATTAAAATAAAAATAAAACAGTGAGTGATTGAAATTTAAATAATGGTAAAACACGTTTTACATTTTTAGAAGATTCCCTTGCTAATTTCCAGTAGCTCGTTTTGACTGTCTCTCTTTTAGAATGTCATACAAATAATATTCCAAATAGGACTTCGCTACAGTTAGGTCATTGTAGTACTACGATTTCTTACCATACAACTAATTTTAGCAATCCATATCAATTCTGCAATAAGCATCGTTGTCCCAGATATGACAGGACAAGAACAAGTTACGTAGTAATTATGTCGAGAGCATACAGCCACAATAACGGGCCATTGGCTCCTCGGAGAGCATGAATCATAAGTGTTTCTGTTATACAACAGCCGCTGCCGCAGCTGCTAACTAGAAGAAAACAAGAGAGTAATTTTTCGTTTCCTCTCACAATTTAGACATTTGGCATCCATCACTACCATTCATGAATTGATGATCTCCACAATATCGATTATAAGTAGTTTGAACGAAGACACCAAATGGCTTGAACGCAACGATGAGGTGTGAAAGCAAGAATATTAAGGTCTTAGAATAGTACCCCACACCAAGTCGTACCTCCCTTATTATATAACTCCACTGATCTTCCTTTCCGGAAAGTGTAATTAATGCAAACTGTTCCGATTCTGCGCGATCAGGTTTACCTAAATGCACTAGGAGGACGCTTTCAGTGAAGTCGGTGAAAGTCATGCCTCGGAGCAGGCGATGGACTTTAATGAGCAATTTTATTTAAAGTAAAACTTCGAAGTAAAAACTTAAGCTTTCTTTAACATAGCCATACCATTCAACTAACAGGAATAATAATTTTACATAGTTCAAGGTGCAATGGATAATTTGAGTTGGGTTGAAATCCAAGGTAGTTTGCGGATATGAGAAATCGAACTAAGAGACAGCAACAATCAGTCTTTTTTAGAATATAAAATATACCATTTCTAAATTACATATAAACGTGCGATAACGATTTCAACTAAATTTTCTCAGAATTATATTTTATAATTATGCTTAATGAAGTTTTACTCACTTAAAGGTTCAAGTAATTTTTTTTTTTACTTTTTGGGTTGATAAATATGTCAGTTTAACTCTATAAAAATTTATATACGCACGAACGTACATTTACTTGTGGTTATCTAAAATATTTTCTTATCAATCGCTGATCTCGAAGCATTTATCTATAATAAAATGATAAAATTCCATTTTAAAGCAATACGATTAAGCAGTAGTTATCGGTGTTGGGCGGTTTTTATGTTAAAGCTTCATATCAAACTGAACTTGAGTGTCAAATTAGTCGTTGCCACTGTTTAAAGGAACTGAAGTATTTACTAATAAAAACAAAACAACAATCTGAACTAAGCGAATGCTCATCATAATATATTTACATATGTGGGATTGTAATGAATACAGTAAATAGATCATATAAAATCTTCATATTTTAATGTTATACTTTTATTTATATAGGTTACTGCAATCAACTACCACGACCAACTCAACAGAGTCGACATCGACCCGTGAGGTAAAAGAATTGGTGTCCCCGCTCAGAAAATCAAAAAAAAGTGGGGTTCCTCAACAAGCGAATTCAAAACATTCTCATAAATTTGGGCAAGCATGTCATAAAGACAAAATTCTTTTTTCCAAATCAGCAACTGTGGATGAACATTCTAAGAGGACACAAAGCAGTGGGCATGAGCTATTTAACGTGAAAAATTCCCGATCTAATCCTGTGGTTCGTGCAAATTACGATCTTGAATCATCACGTTCTCTTGAAGACCTTTTACGAAAACGCGAAATAGATTTACAGCGTCGCCGAGGGCATGTTGAGCGATTAATGCAATGGCACCGTTGCCTCGATCAGGAAGAAGCTGAGGTACTGCAAATGGAGAACCAACTTCTTACATACAGCAGTAGAGTTCAATCAAAAATAGAGAAGGTGTCTCAGAATCATGCAAGCGTGGTTAATGTTAAGAATCATTGCGCTCACACAAAAGTTCAACGTCGATTAAAGGAAATCGAAAATAGTTTAAAACAATTGAATAACATTTCAAGTACGTCGACTGGAAGTAACGAAATTAGTAGGAAAAATAATGGTATTGAGTGTGTTCATACCACTGGTAGTAAGTTAAATAAATTGTGGCGGCGTCTAACATCGCAGCACTGCGAGAAATATGAGCCGAATAAATACTACAACTTATCGAAGTCTGATTTGGAAGCACTATATGAAGCGGCGAAGGTAGCAGTGCTGCAAGATTTTACCCATAATGAAGGTAGTCTAGCTGCGGATCTTCTAGAGAAAAGCATATTAAATAATAATGACGAATCATCAACTTCCTTACAACAAAAAGAGCAAGTTTCCATTCCGTCATTGAATTTGGGCACCAGCTCGGAATCCCCATCCGATAGAGAAGTGTTGTGCGAGGAAACTTCTGCCCACTCTGTATTAACCAGCAAATACAGTCCGAGCAGCGCAATTGCAAAGTTTGATCAGTTTCCAGAAAATTCGGCTACTGGATCAGTCTGCTCCACAGAAGCACAGTTGTCGTCCGAAGGGAATACGTTACTAAAAGACAGCACCTTGGCATTAAATACCGATGCAATCATGAGAAGCTCGAATACTAATTCATGCCAATTCTTTGGTTTAGCTCGTAGCCTTTCAGATACTGTTTTGTATAATAAACATCGTTCGCTGCAAACGAACGAAAAGGCTACGGTGAATGATGATATATGCAAATCACAAGAAGATACAAACTCAAATATATCTAATATCGCAAATGCTGTAGAGCCCAAAGAATTATCACCGCTTTATTTAGATGTAAATAGTATAGGACAAAACCCTCGAAATAACTCTAAAGGAATTGAAGAAGATGTGGAGCTGAAGGAGGAAGTATTTTTCGAGACCAACCTGCAACCGGAAATTAATGAAAAGTTTATAATCTCTTCCGAGGAGCAGATGTTCCAGAGATCGTCGCAACCTAACTCGACACGTCTTCCTTTTATCAGTTCTAAATTCAATGATATGGAGTGTAAAACATCCTCATCTATGGATAAATTAGAAAATGCCGATTTTAACTCAACCGCTGACATTAACGACTCAAATCAAGAAGAATCTTCCAGCGACCAAAACTCATTTAACTCGAAAACGTATATTTGTAAAGAAAAATCGATGGAAGCTGATGGAATTTCAAATGAAAATAGTACTTCAATTGTATATGAAGATGATTTTGAAAATAATAGCGAGTTAACACAGTTAAATGACGTATCATTTCCTTTTTTTGAGAGTACAGTTGATCTATCGGTACAGGATGCTAATGATGAGAAAAACAAACAAAACACCGATAGTGAAAATAGATCTGAAAATACAAATGTAAATAATGAAGTGCCAATTTTATCCGACGCATCGGAAGTGCTTGAAAAATCACAAATCCAACAGCCTAATTTGGAAATTGTATCAATTCCACCACCACCGCCACCTGCCTCAGACAATGCACATTTACCAACACAGCAGATAAGTAATGGAAGCGTATCTATCACATCAAGTGCTGTACAGCTTATGCCCGACATTATAAATGAACTGGAAATACGTCGTTGTCAACAAATTTTACTGGAGACCGAGGTAAAGACATAAAAAGTCTATGTATATTCATTATTTGTTTTCATGTTTTAAACTAATATTTCCTTAATTAATCAACAAATTACAGCAAATTATACAATTCGACAACACGTCAACTGTACCATATATGTACGTTCGCGAAATTCCAAATAAGCCTCCACCACCATATGTACCCCCCGCACACGGAAGTCCTATGACGACCATATTTCCATCAGAGGAAAGAATTAAAGAAATAAGCTATCGACGTACGCATGAATTGTATTGCGAACTTCTAAAGACTGGTAAATTATACTTTGAATTATCATCTTAACTTTTCGCCTAAAAAATTATTGTTTTTTTGTTTTTATAGAATATGTTAGTGAGTGTGGAAAAAAATTACCTTCGGTAATGGATGAAAAAATAACTAATATCTACGAACGGATAATACTTGATATCTGCCGTGAATATTTAGACGAGCATAGTGAAGTCCTGACGCAAGGAGACCCTGTTAATTTTCATACTCAATTAGCTTTCTTTAACCCACCGAATCGTTTACAGTGTATTCAAGAATCAGTATACAAGGAAGTGCGCCGATGCTTAGCGATGAACAAAGCAGTAAAACGACGTACACCTGTATATTCTGTATATGGCCAAAGGGCTAATAGCGATCATATTGGCAAAATTATAATACAAGAAATGTATGATGAAGATGACAAATGGTGTAACTTCCACAGAGAGGAAAATGAAGTAATCGAATTAATTATTTACGAGGTTGTGGGAAAATGTATAAGCAACATAGCCAAGGAAGTTCTTGTTGAGGACAGTGGGATGATTGGAGCTGCAAATAAAGAAGATGAAGCTGAAAGGAATGAAAGTATAAGTTTATGTTTAGATACAACTGACCAGCCGAATGATAGTGATGAAGTGCCTATTGGTCAAGAGTTTTAAGAAAAAATTTCACTACAGGAATACCACGAGTACAATATTGGTATTATTACAGGTGTTCTTTATTGTTATTTTAGAAATATTTCATAAAATACAATAATAAACAGATCCTATTGTAATATTATATAACGTTTCATAGAGTATTTCTACATGTACCATGTGTATCACTGCCTAAAGAGAGGAAGTGCTTTTATTTCATGTCTGAAGTACACTCAGAGGGCTCGACATTCCCTGCGAAGGGGCGATCACAATAAGAAAAATTTAATTTTGGATGTTTTATTTAACAATCCAATTGTCGAACTGGAAGGATTTGGGAAATCTTCGAGACATATTTAATGAAAATTGTTTATAAACATTTCTGATATCCCAAAATTCGAAAAAGAATGTTTGACATAAATAAATGTCAGTGATTTAGCTTTTTCTTTTCACGCATTTGGTGTGAAAAATTGATTTCGACGAGACAACATCAAACTAGTGAGCTAATTTTCAGAAATTTAAATTCAATTGCCATTAAAATTTTATGTTACATGTTACTTCCTTTGAAATTAAATTCCAAAGTTTCTAATTTCGACATGTTTTCTCTCGATGACTCCCAAGGCCGTCTTATCGGACGTCGTCGTTGTTGTTGTTGTTGTTGTAACCGCAAAATTATTCCCCAAAGTACTTTTTGGGGAATGTTGCGGGAGTGACAGTCCTTGGCCGGATAAAAATCCGGGTCGTTCCGGTATAAATACCCGATTGCCGCGGGAACTATTGGACTTTAATCGCCTCTTACGACAGGCATGCCTTACCGCGGGTAAATTCTTGAGCCGCTAACCCGCAGGGGGAAAATATCGGACGTCGTCATCGTCCACGCTTCTGTACTATATAGTAGGACGAGAATGATGAGGGACTAGTAGAGTTTAGTTTAGTTCGTCAAGAAAGAACTTTATTTTGCAATTGCCTACTCAGTCCAAAGTAGCAACTACGGGCAATAGTGAATTTGCGTTGGATTTCAAGGCACAAATTGTAATTGAAGTTAATACACGAAATTATCTACGACCTAGACATCTTGTCTGTCAAACCACGTAGCTCGCTCAAGGAGGTGTAGAGGTTGGTTTAAATGCTACCTGAAATCACTTGACCGGGATAGCAGTGAAAAAAATCTGCGAAGTTTTCTTCAGATAAAGCAATTATTTAATATTTATAAGTTAACAGATTGTACTTAATATATCATTTATTAATTATTACTAAATATTTATTAAGTCGTATGATATATCAGAAAATGACTGATTATACAAATATATTCAAATATGTATATATATTAGTTACTTAATATGTATTCATTTCATGTAGTAGGAAACGAAAAGAAGTGTTGGGGAGGGAAGGGTTACAGAAAATGCGACGTCTTGCTACATTAAAGGAGAGGCTAAGATATGGACAACCCCTTATTTGATGGCAAGTCAAACCAAGACGTGAACTCTGGCCAGCCGTTTATTTCTTTTCCAAAATACTACAATTCGGCCATTTTGACATTTATTTATTTTATATTTATACTAGCAGATCCGGCTACACGCTGTTGTGGCTTTTTGTATTTTGCAGAATTCTTATTCGCGTATATATATTGTATTACTCGATACTAAAAGCCCGTCACGTAAATGGCAATCGGATCTATGCTTCAACGTTTAGCTTGTAAACCGTAGCCGCAGAATAATAGCATTGCGCAGTGAACATACTTACACACGATCTATATATATGTATATAATTGGCGCTTTGTAACTGCTGAACCAATTTTTCGGCCGAGCTCCTCCTCCTATTTGTGGTTTGGTTTTTTTTTTGCGAGGAGCCTTTTTTTATGCCCGGAATACACTCCGATGAGGGGCGACCGCAATTAGAAAATTTAACTTAGATTTTATTTAAATTAATTTTCCACAATTTTTGGATGTTGGTGGCACCGGGATATGAACCCGAGCCTTCTGAATGTCAATACGCAATGCTAACCACTCGGCTACCGCGACGGATCCGCACGATCTATGCTTTGCACAAACAAATTTTGACCAAAAACTGGGGGAAAAAAATTTTTGGTTGGAAAAAATTAGGGGTTGATGATAAAAGGATGAAAATTTAGGGTTATAAATATGTATTTTGTAACGTCGAAACATAAAAAAATTAAACAAAAATTTAGGGGTGTGAAAAATAGATATTAAGCTATTTTCAGACCTACTGCACATAAAATTTCATTAAAATCGGATAAGCCGTTTCGGAGGAGTATCGTGTCTAACACTGTGACACGAAATTTTTATATTTTAAATAACATTCCTGCAAGAATGCTTCCGATCATTTTTTGGAATGCATGATGTCATATACTGTCAGCTCTTAGAACATTTTCCCAGCACTTTCTTAAGGCCGAAATAACAAACGTGATGTCTGCATTTGTATACGTGTACGTCATTCTCGCTTCGTTTCCCTGTGCATTTTCATCATTCTTTTCGAACAAGCCGAACGCAGATGAGCGACAGCATTGAAATTAGCTTTGAGAAACATTTTCCCTGCATATATATATAAGTATATACATACATTGAAAAATTAGTTAGATTCAGTTTTTATGTTAATATTTTTACATAGATCAAATACATGGTTTATATACATAGCAAAGAGACGAAATAACAATACAACCATAAACTCGTTACCAAAAATCAGCAAAATATTATAAGCAAAACCTCATATAGTGTCATGAGTTGGTGACGCAGTTCCTCAATTCCACGAACTCCGTCATAATCGCAGCTCCTATGAAGTAAAGACGTCTGAGTAAAATAAAAAAAATAATTTTCGAATCATAATGTTATTAATGTCTAAATGCAGTTGTAACTTGCACAGTTTTATTGAATATTTTTAAATCTGTTATTGCAGAAAGATAAGAAGCGTCTATTACAGTCAATCTACTTCAATAGCTGATCTTTCCGTACGACATGGAGTGCCCTTAAATAAACAAATGATAAAAGCAACGAAAAATGAAGTAGTTAATTAATCGACAATATATTATTACCACAGCTTGTACAAGATCCTTATCCATATTTCCCAATTCTATCGGCAACGACTCGGAAATAAGAACATAAAATAAAACTGCATTCCCCTTCAATTTGTATGTACTCAGAAGAGAAAGATAAACGAAAAAATTTATTTATGTATTAGTGCTGCCCGCAATCGTGTGAGTGTATTGGTGAACCCATCAGCCCTTTCTTGCAGGGATAATATAGTATAGTATAATAAATGTTTGTAAGCGTTTATGGAAAATGTTCAAAAATGATTCGCGCAGACGCGAACGAAATTATTTCGTAAGACATACATATATATATGTACATATGTATGTATGTGGAAAGATTTATATAAAATATCAAACAAAGTTTTTCATAACTCAATTTGGTTATATATATACATACATATGCACATATTTTGTTGGGTAGTAACGTGAATTTATCACTACAGACAAATTTTTTCTAACATAATTCATTTGAATTTGAAAACAAAAACTTACAAATGTGTAGGCTTCTCAGTTAACAAGAACGCTTAGCAAGCTAAGCTGTGGCGCGTTCCTTAAGTTGCGGGAACATCTTTTCGCTGCATTCGGGAATTTCTGGATAAGTTGTACAGTTGTGGATGATATCTCAGTTCTGCTCATTTCAACTTCTGATTTGCAGGCCTATTCTGTCGCGGTAATAAAATTTACTATTCTGTAAATCCTGTTACTATTTCGTATTCTAAATTTTTTTATCAGCGAAAAAGGAGGTAACAAAAAAAACTGCTGTTTGATTTTGTGTTGTTAGTTAAAAAATAAATAAAAACCAAAATGGGCAGGCAAATTGTAGGAATTCGTTGAATATAAGGAAAAATGTGTAAAAAGGCGTATGCTAAGAAGTTTGCGAGAAAAAATGGGTCTTTTAATTTGGAAGTTAGCGTTTCACCGTCTTCCATTTCGATGTGAATATTCTTCTTTTTTACTTTACTATTTGGCAAATGTAATTTGACAAGGACGAAAAATGCAATGCTGACAAAGTGTTTTCAAACGTTGTAACCTGTGCGCTAGAATACCAAATACAATTTCGGGTGTTAAAAAAAGTAACAAAATTTACTTTAGAGGTAACAGTGAGAATGGGCCTGTTAGCCAGTAGAATACCTCTTTATGTATATTTATGTTACGATATGTTACGATAGAACCACGATGCGCTCGTTATTATCCTTAGAATTTTGGACTGGAACCATTGTATTTTATCAATATTAGTTGTGAAGAAGCATAACAATATAACAATAGATGTGTTCGTTGACTAGGTGAGCAGTAACAATTTTTACTGAATTTTACTGAATCGTGTTCGCTGAGCCAAAAACTCAGTAAAATTAGTAAAGAGAGAGCGTAATTTTGACGATTAGTTTGGAGAGAAAGTTGCAAATTCGTGTACACGTATGAAAAACAGCTGATCTGTGATCATATTATTGAATTTTTGTGAACAAACCCAGATTGTCTTAAAATTGAAATACTAATAAACAAATTAATGTTTAAGCATGTTGATTCATGCTCCAATTTCCTTGCATGCTTTTAGGAATTAGTTTTTGCTTCCTGTCATTTGAGGTACTTATGCATATATGAATGCTCGTGTGTACAAACATATGTGTATACTCTCTTGTAAAGGTGGACAGTGAAGCAATAAACCTAAAGTGTCTATTAGATGCTAAATGATATTCGGCAGCTTGCATTATTGCATGCTTAGATGCCAGCGCCAAGAATTCAAAAAATTCCACGGAGCACCTCCTTGTTCCACTAATTTTGAAGAGCCAAAGAGCTCGATAAATTCCCAACGCAACAAATGGAATGATCACCCCGCACTGCATCTAATTTTCTAAAACCCAAACTCATTAACAGCCAAACGGTTCTATGAATAAATTCTAGCGTATCTTTATTAATATTAATATTGTTAAAGTATATGTTGGAAACCACTGCAATAAATAGCACCCCACAGTTTGTCTTTGCAATTCCTTCTTCAATTTACCATTCGCACTCAATTCGTACTCAACAACTGTGTACTTGTCCAGTTATACCAAGCTCATTTCTCATTGTACTCATTTCCTATCGCTAATTTTTTATCCTAATTTACAGTAATTTTATAGGACATACGTTTTGCTATTTAAGAGCTCTCTCATCACTTATGTTATTGTCAATCATTTTTGAAATACATTGTTGAATGAAGAATATCGTGGTCGAGACAAAACAGTCTCCAGACTCTACACAGTAAATTTTATGGTGTCAACGATTCAAACATGTTTAGGTACTCATCGCATGAGAGCGCGTTGTCAGTAGAGTGGAATAACCGCCTTCGTAGAAGAATTAGAAGTTATGAATGTTGAAGGAATAGTACTACTACTTTTGTACAACGCAAATGGATTTTGGTTTCCTTAAATTTACTAAAAATCAATGTACTCGTAGACCTAATGACCCGCAACGGTCGCAGGGATGATTTTGCATTCTGAACATACGAACATTTTGTACATTTCGCCGGCTTACGCGGAAAAATAATTCCAAACTCATTTTGATAATAAACATCTGTTGTTCAACTTGCTGCCTAATTTTTACTTAATCGTGTTCGGTGAAAACTCAGTAAATTTCTTTCTTTGGGAGAGTAATGGATGAAAATATAGAGGCATTGCCACAGAATTGAATAAAAAAATTAAATACTTATAGTGGCGCTTATATTTTATTTCAGAAAATACGCTCGAGAGCTCGACATTCCCTGCCGAGGGGCGACCACAAATATAAAAAACTAATTTTATATATGAAAATCTAATGTCCGCTTTAAAAACTCCAGTAACCTCCGAAAATCCCCTAAAGTTACCGACCGTTGGAATCAAAATTTTGTTCCATCGTTTCTATGGTTCCTGAAAATTTCGGGGAATGGACTCGCGGCTTACCTATTCGAAAAAAAAACTCTTATGTCCCTACGAAACGGGTGTTCTACAAAATTATCGACCGATTGACTTGAAATTTCGTCAGATTATTTCTATGATTCCTGGGAACGTTTTTTTTTTTGGAAAAACTTTTCGGGAAACGGACCGGGGACTGACTTATTCAAAAAATCTCATTTATGGTCTGGCTTACTTGAAATTCGGTTCTTAGGTGGGCTTTTGCTTAGATTAACAGGAAGATCCGGGGAGCAGACCACGTTCTGACGTATTAAAAAAATTTAATTGTTGGATTTACCTGAAACTCGGTGAATAGGTGGCTTTTCCCCGAAAGTGTACCAATTAATGGTCGAAAAAATGTTGTATTGAGCCAAAATAA